TTTTTTACACTGCTATCCAAAAGCTGCATGAATTTAAATTCAAGTGAACTATCGAACACATGTGGGACCCTTGAATTTAGCATGTTTCAAGCAGGTACTAATGAAGAGCATGTTCACTAAATTTTATTTAATTTGGCCCAATAGTTTGAAATTATCTTGACAACGGTAACGCATAAGTGCAGAAATGTTATTTTGAGAAAATGGCCTGTAGTTTCGGCATATTTCAAATGTGAGTCAGTCTCCCATATCTAACATATAAACTTTTTATGCAATTTTTATGGTATACCAAGATTTGAATCATAAAGCAGGACCAACTTAGACTATTCATGAACATCAGCAGGGTAAAAATCCTCTCTGTCATTCTCAACCATAATAGCCGCCATACTCTGTGCTTCACTCGGTGATAATCTTTTAGCTGCTGAATCTATTCTTATTCTGTCCAGTTCACTGAAACACAGTCTGGTATAGAATCCAGCAGGCTTAGCCAGCGTCCCTGGCGCAAGCTCGACGTCAATACACTTGAAGCTCCACAAGGTAGAGCAACCAAACTCGTTAGAGGATTGTTTCATCTCTCCTACCAACGCAGATTGCAGTCCCTGAGATTGTACAGTGGTGAATATCGACGTCAGCGAGGAGACCTAATCCTAGTTTATTTAATATGGACGAACCCAACTCACCCATGTCGCAATCTGTTGCAGCTGAGCCAAAATACCAACCGGAGAGGTCATCAGCTCAAACTGGCTACGCACTACAGTGGACTTAATTGTCGACGAAATGTTTTCTCCCTCCATGTGTCTCGTGCCTAGAATGCCCTTCCGATTCACGTTATCCTTGCCCCTACATAAACGCTATTTAAAATGCGCCTTGATGAAACGCTGTCCAAGTTGCATCATTTGATGTAGTCCGTTCCACTTGGAGGGCAAAATAACGCAAACCTAACCACGGGCTTGACGACCCTTTCCGCAACGTGGCGGTGAGGATACATGAGGAAGTGTCCATGTGAGTCGCCTGGATGTATCTAAACTGGATTAACGTACCACATCTGGCAGCTGAATGAACACATTGTGAGCGTTGTCGCTTCCTTTTTTCTTTCTGACGCATTTACTGAAATATAACAGCACTTTATACTATTTTGTGTATGCACATCCCATTCCCACTTCAAACTATCGTTATGTAGTAGTGCATTTAAATCGGCAGACGCTTAAAATAGCGATTTACTCATCCGATCAACCTTCCAATTTTAATTTTTACTCCAACTATCCTACGGACTTGTCAAGCAAATACCTTTTTACCCGTGATAAATTATTGTTCTTCATAGGTAGCCTACCCCTCGTTCCATCACTGAAAACCACTCTAGCATCATAAACTGCGAGAGTTAGTCTAAGCCTTCCAACAAAAGCAAATTTTGGACATCTTTGCTAAATGTAATTATGAAAACGCTCAGTTGTATTTTGTGTTCATCCATGAGCCCACTTTGACAGTAATGTCTTGCTAGTGAGAGTTTCAAAGACAGGCCTCACAGACAAAGGGAGGGAAAGCATTGCTATCAGGATGTGAAGCAGGCTGATTCTTGCAGTGGCACCAATCTCCACAGTTGAACAATGAACAATGAACAATGAATTTATACGGGTTAAGAAGCGTTGCTTTACAAGCCCCGTTGGATAGTTGGTGGGGATATCAACATAATAATTATGATGAAAAGGATAGTAAAATAGTTAACACTTTAAATACGAAAATAAGGACTTATCGTTTGCTTCGCTGCAGTCCTGCGATCCTCTTAGATTCACAACACCCACAGTTAACAACAAATAATTCCAGGGTAAACTCCAGGTGTAGGATGGAGACATAGTGTTAAGTAACAAAGTGTAAGTGGATGAGTGTATCGTCCAACCGTCTTTTAAATATTGTTAGTGTCGGTGCAGAGACGACCGATTCTGGGAGAGCATTCCACGGGTGACAGACACGGATGGAAAAGAAATTTCTGCGGCACTCCAGACGACTGTATTGTTCTGCGAGTTTTAATGAGTGGCCCCTCAGGTTTGTATTGCTGCTGAGTTGCAGTAAAGGGCGTGATATGATAACGGTTCCTGTACTCTTCTATGACACAGATTTCTTTTCGCATCTGATGAACATTGTTGGCGCTTCTAGGTATTGCAGCATCATAATGTCCACAAATTTTTAGAATGGTCCTCTGTCATCCTCTCCCACCAATATCTCGAACACTCTTGCCATCGTGCGTAAAAGGTTTCCTTCTTCAACTCATTTATCTTATTAGTAAGGTGTCGCCCTATTCACTTCTGCACGTGCCCACAACATTCCAGTTTTGCAATAGCAATACCAGTATACACTGGTAGTTCCGCATTTCCGACGGATGTGAATGCTTTACTGTCTCCATATCCAAGAAAGAAAACATAGCGCAGACCATACAACTCTTCACTCTGCCTGAACATTTCTAGTGCCCCAGCTGGCTTCATGCTACCTGCTGATCCACTGTGGTTCTTTTCACAGTTCTGAACATGGGAAAGCTTTTATGCCTGGAACTCGGCCTCAGATTTCATATTCTTGTGTTTTCCACAAGCGTTGCAATAAGTACTCAGAACTGCAGTGTTCAGAAATTTTGAGTCGTGTCCATCCATAGTTAGAATAGTGACTATGCGCTTTTTACGCTGGAACCCCCTTTTCTGCCACATGCCATCACAGGAGACTGTCATGGCTTCTCCTTTCTTTTCTTTCATCTCAGATGCAATTCTTCGCATACTTGTATGTGCAAATATCTCTGTAGCCTGAAAAATGCTCTTCTTATGAAGAGACCAACTGCTTTTATGCATACTACTTGGTATGTTCATATTGTCAAGAAATTTCTTTCCATGCATAAAGCTCTTTGCCATGGCAAAGAGAGCAGCTGGATGCCTACTGCTTACTTCGTATATTTTCCACACATTTGCAGAGGACATAATCTAAACGGTGTGTTGACATTGACAATGAAAGTGAACTTTGGGACCAGCGAGCTTCTTTCTTCTGTTACCTAGGACTTGTTCTCTCCCAGCGATTGTCTACACTGACTGCACCATAGTGTTTGCAAATTTATTGAGAAGATGAACGTCGAAAAATCGAGAACCTGTGAGCTCCTCAGTTTTACCAAACTCAATCGAGGTTTGAGATAACAGCATGATTCTAGCAGCAAAGGTAGATGGTTCGTTTTCATCAAAACTACAAATTTAACACACCAAACTACTTGTCCCTGCATCTTAAAATACTTATAATAAAGAAATATCGGTTTTCTTGGTCTGTAACCTCGGCTCACCTTACTTTAACTGATAATTAGAGCTTTTGTCACCATCGATAAATGGCTTTGTCCGCAGAACGAAAGAACATGGCCGACGCAGCGACTTTCTGACTGGTATGTTGTTTTGAAATGAGTGCGCTGATTGTCTGAAGGAAAAATATCCTCTATAAACCGGCAAATGAAAGCTTTCCGTTCATGTTGTGTAACATGGAAAATATCGTGTGGCCGGAATGTATCTACCGATTGTCATGGACGATTGTAATTTGCCGCACATTGCGCGCCCTGAGAAAACCCCAAGGAATTCTAACGGCAGTCCGGAGATCCAATCGGATCCCCCGCTACGCACACAAGTGGAACGTCTACGTACCCCAAATTGCACAGCGCTTCACGGGATGAGACGCAGACCGGGGATACTTGAACGATCGATACATTCTGGTCAGTGTCTGAGGACAGCATGTTTCGCAGGAAACTGGATGCCTGTGCGCTCTACTTACCGATGTTTAACCGTAGTACTGAAGTTAACGTTACGTACAGGGGTCTACTGTGGTTAAAAATAATGGACATCGCGTTGACGGACGAACGTGCATGTGGTGCACAACTGTTACTATTTCGTCGCATCTATGTTCCCATTAAAGTAGACAGACTGACGTACAGGTGAGAAATAAGTTTTCGATGTGCCCGTATATGTATTCAAGTTAATGTTACAACACAATTACGATGGGTACGCCGGCAGACTGTAAACTAGCTTCCAAAGAAGCACTGTAGAAAAAAGCACCATTTTCAACTAGACGTTTCATATTAAGAATAATAACGACTTGGTAGTATTTTGCTTTCCTGTTAAGTGTGCCGAGTTTTATCCGGAATTTCTCTTTCTCAAATAACCTACGATACTTAAGGATTACCCGATTGTTTCAGTTCAGTTTAGTGCAGTTGATGAATCATGATCCGGACACTAAAGTACTATGGATGCAATTGCCACGAGTCGCGTCGTCAGTGGCAAAAATGAAGAATGATAAGTAAATGCGGTTAGACTTAAATATGGTATTAGTAGAATGGAAGCAAGAACGAGGTGTATGAAGCTAATTGCATTGTAGTATGAACATCTACATTCAAGAGAACGAATCCAGGGGCAGCACTGATTCAGACAATGCGACAATTCGATAGTGTCTCACCATTGGTTTGGACTAGCTCGAAGCCCGCATCGACGAAGACTTCTCCCGCCTGTCCAAGTCTCTTGGTCAAATTCAGAGGGAAGCATGGGGAATTTACCATAGTTTTTCAGAGCTTTATTATCATAGGTACTATTAATGGCACCAGAAAAGTTTTAATAGTTTAGTGCAGTTAACCCCAATGTATCTATTCTGTACTAGTGAGCAATCTGAGAGTGCGCAATCGACCTCATATAATGTTACATTTAAAGGTTTCTACCTAGATATAGGTTTCATAGTTTACCGGGTTGCTCTCTTTTTTTAAAATAAAATCATAGGCTTGTATCACATGTGCACTTCCTATGTTTGTAACGGCGGTCACAACGCTTAACCCGCTTTCAGCTCGGATCCGAGTATGAATTCGCAACCCCAATCAATAAGCAGTTAGTGCAGAATGTTGTTATTTGCGTGAAACATTTGGTCTAATTTTGTGGATGAGCAGCATACCGCTCAGAGATTAAAATGATCTCATCCCCAACTTCAACTCCTGAGAATGATTGTTATCAGTTTGAGGTGCATTGGATCAAACAAGTACCAGCGTCATAGCAAGGTAAGCATTCACCCGCCAGTGAGGTGTGTGCAGTTTGTCCTAACAATAAGACGCAAAGATGCACGGTGGAACAAGCATAATTTATGCAGCCAAATGACCGGAACTCAACACACTGGGGCCAGTAGGTACATAATCCAACTTCACGGGTTTACCTTTCATTGAGAGAACGCAATCTTCATCGGTTTAGTACACTACAGGTTCAGGTATTGAATCCAAACGATCCGGATAAACATGCATTTTGCCGTTGGTTTTTGGATAACATGCATTCACTCTGTAATGTTTAGGGCTAAGTCCATTTTCCATTTGCATGGAACGGACAAGCAACATTTCTCGGCTTGTTCAAATCTACGCAGATGCACAGCGTCACCCATTCAGCAGAGCGCCAGGCTAATGATCTGGGCTAGAATTACTGGTCAGAAAATCGCCCCACCATTTTTCTTTTCCAGGAACGTGACCGGTAAGTTGTTTGATATTACTCAACCCTTACTTTTGCTAGCATCGTCATACAAGGAATTGCTCCGGACTTGCGTACCGCCACAGTTGGAGACGGATGGAGTTCGCAGTACCATATGGTCGCATCATGATGGTGCGCCAGCACATTATGTTCAATCGGTGTGAGAATATCTCTACGATGAATTCAGCCGACGTTGGGTCGGTCGTGGAGACCCCATCCAGGGGCCCCCACGGTCACCCGATTTAAACCCGCTGGATTTTTTTTCTCTGGGGATATTTGAAACGAAGGATTTACAGAAACAAGCCGATTTCCCTCGAGCAATTGCATCAGAATATTGTGAATGAATGCCACGCCATCTCCACCGTGGCGTTGCAGAAAGTACCTGTTAACCGCATCAAGCGATTTCCTTACTGTAGTCAGAATGCAGGTGGACACTTTCAACATCTCCTTCCATGATATCTCTTTCCGTCTAACCCTGCTTATGTAAATATATGTTTCATCGATTGCATGTGAATTAAAAACTAAATCGGTCTCCGGACGGACGGTCCTAATGATGGGTCAGGGGAACTTAATTCTATGAGCATTGCCTGCTTCTTCAGAAGTTTACGCCACTCCGAACGCCGTGATAATTTGTGGGGATCCGATGCGTAGATTAGAGCCTACATATCGAAGCCGTTGGTGCAAATATTCTCCAATTCACACCGGAGCCATAAGTAAGAGATTACTGGGGTCTCCGATACGCCGTTTAGAGACAAATTAGTTATCGGTCATGGTACTATTGCACACTGAGCTCCTTGCTTGCAGGAGAGGCCTCCGTTTGGGTACAGTGCAGCTTGCCGATCAGTGTCAATGCGCCAAGCCTATGAAACCTCGGTGATCCATATTTTGCTCGGCCACGTCTACTTTTGTGGGCTGTACCCAGATGACCGAGAGACTTTGCCAGGCAGGTACTTCAACATAGCAGTTGCTAATTTTACTGTCAAAGGGATGGAGTTATCGTTTTTAACACATTAGTCCTTCTCTCCGCACACATGATTTGGGTTGTTTAGGATCAGGTATACCATTATCAGGTCGCACTGAGCATGTCGGAAAACGAGGATGTCAAATTGTTTGAATGCTCGTCTCATCAACCCGACGTGTTGATTACCAGTTTTCGATGCCTTTTCGAATTGCTAGAAAAACTCGTCATCCTGAACCAGCACGGCTAGGTCGCGTTCGACGCAAGATCTCTGCAGTACTTGCTTTCCGAGCATGTAGCAGTAGGTACTCTGGTGTCGTATGGAGAGTGCCTTGCATTTGCTTACGTCGAAACTCCGCAGCTTTTCGTTTGGCCACTGCTGTACCATGTCCAAGTCATGCTGCAGCATACCCAGATCGGCCTCCGACTGAATCGTGCGCTATATCTTGATGCCGTCAGCAAACATTAGCAAACTTGAACCCATCGTCTGTGCCAGGTCATTGACAAATATCAAAAACAATCATGGCGCTAGAACAGTCTTGAGGCATACCGTATTCGACATGTATGGGTCTGATAACGAGTTTCGAATTCTAGCCACCAGCTGCCGTCGTAAGAAAGTTGGTTATCCAGGGGAACTAGGGTCACCGATGCCATAATACTGCAGCTTGGAGAGAAGAATCCTTTGATCCAGGTGGTCGAATGCCTTCTATAAATCATAATAGACCACACGGACGTTCTCTTCTCCGTCAGCGGACTCGATCCAGCTACTCCGGGCTCTCAGTAAATTTGTTGTGTACGATCGCTGTCGACGAAACCCATGTTGCTCGAGAGCAATGATGTTTCAGTTTTCCGGATAGCACACGAATGCATTGGCAACGATGGACTCCATGACTTTGGACAGTATAGGATGAAGTGATTCCGCTGAAAGAACTGAACCAACTTTTCTGCCAGATGTCGTGACGATGCTCCCATTGCTTCTGGGCGAGTAATATCGACACCAGGAAACTTGTACTTGAACACAGACGTAAACTTTTACAGGACAGCTTCCGCGATAAACGTGATGTGGTTGAATTCCTGCATTGCGGTAACAAAAGATAGAAGATCACCTGGTAGCAAGACCCTCTTAAATGTAAATTCATATTGCGTTCGTGGATGCTATGTTTCAGTGTGTGACAAAGCTATACTTCTGGGTAAAACTGCAATAAGGCCGGTGCTAATATATGCATCTGAGACTTGGCCAGTTCGTACGGAAGTAATCAAACGGTTGACCGTCTTTGATCACCGGGTCTCACGCAGTACTCTACGCATCTGGTGGGAACACAGGGTGAGCAATGCTGAGGTCCGCCAGTTTTTTTTGAAAGCAACTCTCTGGTGCCCCACTTCAGTGTCTGTTGAAGTGGGATGGCTAATGTTGGTTAGATCATATATACCGTACACCAGTTAACCGCTTTCTTCAGTGAGCATTATACGCCGCCTCTGCATCGAGATGGGTAAAACCACGTGGTGTTCAAGCAATGACGTAATATCGGGGTATTAAAAATTTGGCTGAGACTTAATCAAGCAGGTAGTGCGGTCTTCATAGATGGGGGCTTTGTGCTAGTCCAAACCAATGGTAAGAGACTCTATCGGACGTGTCGCATTGTCTGTGTCAGTGCTGCCCCTGGATTCGTTCTCTTGAATGTAGATGTTCATATTACAATGCAATTAGCTTCATGCACCTCGTTCTTGCTTCCATTCTACTAATACCATATTTAAGTCTAACCGCATTTACTTATCATTCTTCATTTTTGCCACTGACGACGCGATTCGTGGCAATTGCATCCATAGTACTTTAGTGTCCGGATCATGATTCATCAACTGCACTAAACTGAACTGAAACAACCGGGTAATCCTTAAGTATCGTAGGTTATTTGAGAAAGAGAAATTCCGGATAAAACTCGGCACACTTAACAGGAAAGCAAAATACTACCAAGTCGTTATTATTCTTAATATGAAACGTCTAGTTGAAAGTGGTGCTTTTTTCTACAGTGCTTCTTTGGAAGCTAGTTTACAGTCTGCCGGCGTACCCATCGTAATTGTGTTGTAACATTAACTTGAATACATATACGGGCACATCGAAAACTTATTTCTCACCTGTACGTCAGTCTGTCTACTTTAATGGGAACATAGATGCGACGAAATAGTAACAGTTGTGCACCACATGCACGTTCGTCCGTCAACGCGATGTCCATTATTTTTAACCACAGTAGACCCCTGTACGTAACGTTAACTTCAGTACTACGGTTAAACATCGGTAAGTAGAGCGCACAGGCATCCAGTTTCCTGCGAAACATGCTGTCCTCAGACACTGACCAGAATGTATCGATCGTTCAAGTATCCCCGGTCTGCGTCTCATCCCGTGAAGCGCTGTGCAATTTGGGGTACGTAGACGTTCCACTTGTGTGCGTAGCGGGGGATCCGATTGGATCTCCGGACTGCCGTTAGAATTCCTTGGGGTTTTCTCAGGGCGCGCAATGTGCGGCAATTTACAATCGTCCATGACAATCGGTAGACACATTCCCGCCACATGATATGTCTATTGACCAATTTACAGCTTGAATGATGTCGCAAGTCAAACACGAGCCGTTTTAATTACCATTCACGAAACTGAATGATAATACTGACGATTTATGAGTAGTTCACTGTTGTTTGACATTTCACCAGGCCACGCATCCATCATGCGATAATTTGCACGATGTTCGATTGTAATCGATAGTTTTCCGAACGAAGTAACTGATATTCGCGTTCATGTATGTTTTTACTTTTGTTTATATAACATTTCCGCCCTTTAACCATAGCCTGAGCCTAAGAGTGGAGCCCTTTGTTTTACTGCGCTGCATTTGCTGAGCGTCAATTACTGTCGCTGTTTGAATTTTGCTGGTTTTATTTTATATTCTATTGCGAGGCTATTCGCTTATTGGTAAGTTAACTGTATCCTTATTATGAATGCTTGTAGAACCACAGTTTATTCAGTACAAATTATTCCGGCCAATATCCTCCTATCTTAACGTCTAGACTGTGTGTACGTTTGGTGATAAGGCTGGTCAGTCGGCAGTGCCGGTCGTAGCTACAAAAATTTAATAGTTTAACTCTCATTTTAATGGATACAAGAGAGCAAAATCGTATAACGGAAAAGCCTCAAAATGTTTGTTACCCGAACACAGAAGCGTCTCAGGAGCAGCTTTGCTTAGGGTTAGAGAATTAGAACAAAGCTTACATGAATTTGAACTGAAGGAAGAGCGAGTAGCGTCTCGCGGATGTGTTACGTCGGACAATGATTCACAATTTCGTCGAAGTGACATGTTTTGTAGGCTACCAGTTGATAGAAGCCTTATGACGTGGCAGGACGTCGGCAAGTTGTATCAATCGTCTAGTCGTTCGGTACGGGTGGTGTTTTCACCGGTTCGAATCCCACCAGTTTTGTTGGACAGCCCACATGGAAGTCGTACCCGACAGGAGACCGGTGAGATTGAATGTTTGTCAGGGCTGCCAAAGCGAGAAATCATCCGCTTTAATGGGGATCCCATACGTTATTGGACGTTTATTAGCAGTTTCCAATCCAGCGTGATGAATGCTACAGCGAATCCGGAAATAAGACTATCCTACTTGATCAACTATTGTGAAGGACCCGCTAGGGAAGCCATCGGAAATTGTGTAATCCTAGCCCCCGATACGTATTGGAAACTTTGAGAGCTAAATTTGGCCGTCCGCACTTAACTACTCGGGCTCACAATGACAACTTAGTGAAGGGATCTCAAGTGAGAGTCAATGATTCCGAGGAGCTACACAAACTGACTACGCAAATGAAGACACACTCCAGCATCTGAATTACGAAGCTGATTTAGAAACAACCGTACCATCAGGAGCAGCAGCAGTCGTTAGAAGGCTTCCGTACGCTTTGCAACTCGAGTGGTCGAAAAGGGGGTCCGGTTTAATCCGGTCGGGAAGAGAGCCCACCCTCACAGATCTGGACCAGTTCGTTTGCGAGTGTGTCGAATTCGCCGAAATTCAGGCGATGTATTTGGATGTAATTGTGCAGAGGCGAGAAGGGTTTCAACGGACGAATAGACTGGAAACCCGAAGGAACAAAATAATCGCCTTAACAACGAAAGAATTGTTACAGCCAAGTCGTCGAATCCTACCGGCTTTTTTGGTATACACAGAGAACAATTAATTGGATCGGTGTTCCCGGTTTCTATCCATGGATGATGTTCAACAGTTAGCGGTCGTATCTCGGACACGTTTATGTTTGGTATATATGAAGCCGAAACATTGGTCGGATAGTTGTAAATATCGGTACACTTGTAGGCTGGATGACTGTCGGCTAAAACACCAGACTTTACTTCACAGTGCAAGTACAGTACAACCGACTTCACCGCGTGCTACAGTTAATGAAACGGTAGCGTCCGTTGGTCAGATTGCTTTCGGAGTGATTCCTGTCAAGGTTCGTGGTAGAGAAAAGACGATATTGACGAATGCATTGTTGAATACAGGGTCAGACTCATCACTTGTGAAATTACAACTATTACGGGAGCTTAACCCACTGAATGAACCGTTGTTGGTCGGAATATCCACTGTCAACGGTGACAAACAGGTTTACTTACATGTAGCCAAGCTCAAGTTACTGCCGTTGGACAAAGAAAAACCTCTTTACGTGGATCATGAGTGGTCCGTTAAAATGATGCCTGATGTCAAACGAATTACATCAGAGTCAAAGTGTCTGGAACGTAGGACACATTTGAAGGACCTGAAATTTTCGGATAGCTATGAAGAAGGCATAGGTGTCTTTATAGGCATGAGCGTCCCAGAGGCCCATTCGGTGCTCAAACATAGGTACGGGAAACCCTCCGAACCTTTTGCTATACGGACTCCTTTGGGTTAGGTTCTTCTCGGTCCAGTCAGGAGTCAAGACGCATGGAGCATTTGCATACACTCCATTTCGGTAGATGATCACAGGTCCATCTTCCTCAAGATGATGCCCGAGCTAGGGTTTACTGAGCCGCAGAATGTCTATAGAAGACGAGCAAGTTTTAAAGTAAGTAGAATCATCCGTCACCAAGTGTGGCTCCCATTATCAACTCAGCCTATCGTGGAGGAGCGAGTGCCCGATTCTTAAGAGAATAACTACCCGTCGCTTATCGAAGGCCAACGTCCCTGTGGAAGAGGCTCCTGGTGAACAATGAACTACGTCAGATGTATACAGCTACTATGGAGGAATACATACCAAACAGCTTCGCGGAGTCAGCTGACTCTGACGTATTTGGAAATAAGAATGGAGCGTGGTACATGCCACATCACGCTGCGACGCACCCGAACAAACCAGGCAAAGTAAGTAGTTCACTTTTGTTTGACATTTCATCACGCCACGCATCCATCTCCATACAATAACTTGCACATTGACAATGTTGTATTGTGACCGATAATTATCCGAACGAACTGCCTGATATTCGCGTCCATTTATATGTTTATACTTTTGTTTATATAACATTTCCGCCCTTTAACCATAACCTGAGCCTAAGAGTGGAGCCCTTTGTTTTACTGCGCTGCGTTTACTGAGCCTCCATTACTGGCGCTGTTTGAATTTGGCTGGTTTTATTTTACATTCCATTGCGAGTCTGTTCACCTATTCGTAAGTCAACTCTGTATTATTATAAATGTTTGTACAAGCACGGTTTATTCAGTACAAATTATTCCGGCCACCATCCTCGTATTTTACCGCCCAGACTGTGTGTAGGTTTGGCGATTAGACTTATCGGTAGGGAATACCGGTCGTAGCAACAAACCCAGATACGGTGTTTCAATATTTGAAGCTTGAAAAGTTCGAAGTAGTTAAACATGCTTCTCCATATGCAGAAAATGAGCATTAAAAAGTATTCCTTTTAAAACCCCGTTTGCCCAGCTGTTTTGTATTATGAATAATTGTGAGTGATGTATGGAAACTCATAATTTTCGATTTTCATGTTAGTCCCTATCCTTAAGCCAACCAAGTGACTTATAGCATCATAAGCAATTGGGTCTACATACTGATTACCGAGGAGGAGTAGGAGGAGTTGAATGGAGTAGTTGGAAATTCATCGTCTCTTGGTGAGGGGATTAACGTGCCTCTTCACGGTAGTAAAGTGTAAGTCAGTGGATAGTGAGCGGCGTTATACCACATCTAGTCACGTTGGTCGTTGCCGGCCCCATTAGGTCCGTGGTCTCAAGCACAGACTGGCAGCCTTAGAGTTTCGGGTCACACAGGGGTCCGACGGAATGTGCACTGCTGAGGATTCCCGAACTAATGAAACGGCCGTACTGTGATTTTCGGGGCGTGCGAAGGCTCTCTGAGTCTAGACCTACACTTCTACCCAGACCATTCTGTAGTAATTGGAAATGCTGACGGCTTAAGCTGAAAGGCGAAACGGATAACCGACGAAAGGCAATTAATTAGTGAATCCATTCCCGCGGTCAGGTCGACGATTGGCTCCGGTAACGGTGGGCGGGTATAATCGCGCGAGCAAATTCAACTTGTCAAATCTTATTTCTCGACACAGGGGACCGAACTGATCATCGTAATCCATTACACGGTGACGTATCACATTCATGCGGATGCGCATAAACACACTACTCCATCAAAGCCTTATGGAGATAATGGAGGCGCTTCAGAACAACGGTGTTAAGTCACGCAACTGCGGAGGGGAAAGCCTCCTAGCCTAGACGATGCTGCAGACCACCAAAGATAGATATGTGTGGTTGCACAAATTGCAGCGTTAATATGGTGGTGAAAGAGAATAGGTACAATTCAGTTTCGCCTAGTGGGTAAGAGAATTACTCTGCATCAGTCAAAGTGTGAAGTTAACGGATATGGGACAAATGTCGAGAACAAATCATGTGTTTGTCTGGCGTCGACTCGTGATTGACTTCACGTGTGCCGGATTCTACTGGATACACTAAAATGAGGGCAGATGTAAGCACTAGGTGACCTAGCGGAAATGTCACAGTAAACGAGGTGTAAGATGTACGTTTCCGTTGGTAGCAAAGATGGAAATATGATAAATGCACTGGAAAAGAATTACGGAGACAAGTTTCCATGGCTTCCATAGGAAACCAATCAAAATAGTCATTAAACCGCGGCCAATACCATTGTTAAACTTATGCGAAAAAGAGAACAATATTACAAGTATCACAACAGAAATAAAAGTAGAGAGACCAGCTCTCTGGTTCATCACATGGCCTAACGCACCTTTCACGGGGAGACAGATTAAGATCAACGGGAGAAAATTAAATAAAATAGATGATTATACAGTTATGCGCTATTGGGATTTATAGCGGATAGGGAAAAGGATGAAGGGACTATCACAGAGGTAGGAAACACCCGTGAGAAATAGCTTTAAAAAGCTTTTTGAAATGCGATAAAAGGAAGCAATCTCACAATCAATGGTCACGATTGCACAGGAACGGAAATGGACAAAGTGAGCCAAAATACCACAAGGGGGTGGAATGGTTCAGCACACAGTGAGAAGACTAAGTGACCTGAAGCCTGATAGCCCATGTGATCATTTGAACGGAGTAGAACCGGTGGATGATGGCATCCCCGAGGAGCGTGAGCCTGCCTTACGCCGCCAGATAGTTGCGAAAGGGCGAACAAATGAGTAGTTGCGTGGCACACTCGGCTTCAATCCAACTGAAGTTGTGATGCTTGTTTGAGACAATCCCAGACGTCGAGATCCGTAAGAAGCTGAGGAATAAGCGACAATGCAAACATCAAAACGGATGGAAGACGGTGTGACGTGGTATGTCGAAGGCAAAGGAGCGTATTCAGCACAAACGGAAACAACCAATCCGCCACAAAGACAAATGACGCATTGAGGACAGCGTAAGCGAAATGTTGCGTGGATGGCCAAAGACAATCAAGCAGACCTACTCAGTGAAGTTCACATAGTGAACGTATACTGTTGAGACTTATCGAATATCTGTGAAAAAATCCAGACGAAACAAAGTTGAATAGTTTCACATTAAATGTGGATAGAAATTGAGTTAACAGCTTATGTAACCACAATCCGAACACAAAAGCGGGTTCGGTTTAAACCCCATCGCCAGTGCAGGTTCGGTAACTAGATTGTTTATGTGAGGACATGATATCCCTATACCTACACCACTCAAACACCTGCAGTATGAAACCATTTAAGTTTTTACTTCGTATCATTGGCATATACTTGACTCATCAATGTCAATGTCATCAATGACAGACTGCCGATTAGAAAACGGTTACGCTGTATCGTCTCTGCCCGCCGCCACACGTCTTCCAGTATTTGCCCTTTTGCATTACGATTGCAATGCCCACTCGTAAGTTGATTTGAATTATCAAACCGAGCTAAAGGAATGCAAAGTTTCATTTCCTCCGCCTAGACCGCGCATAATGCATAGGTTCCCTAGTCTACAGTTTTCTTATTCCGTCTCGTGTGGCTGCTTAGACAAGACTTCATATAGTCGCTACAATCATCGCGCAATTACAGGAAACGGTCAGCTCAAACTCAAGCTCGTTCTTTCACAAAAATGAAACAATGTGGTGCAACTAGCAAGCTAATCCACACTAGACTGCATGGGCCAGGTGTCTGCAAATGAACTGGTTTTGGCAATGTGTAAAAATGTCACAAGTGAGCTTTGTTCTCTCAAAATCGATGAAGAAAACCATTTTGTCCTAGATATATCGTTAAGTGAAAACACGAAAAAGCAACAAACAAGGTACTATCATTTCAATAAACACTGCTAGCTATGCAAACGCCATCAGCTACGAACCAATATGCTCTACAGGTAATTTGCGTTTTGAGGTCACGTAAGCAGTAATTTCGAGACGAACTATAAGTAGTATATATGACAAGTAATTGGGGATGACAGTATAAACACAGAGGACCAGCTATTACACAAAGACATCATTGCAAGACATTGGAGTGTATGCGGAGTGGAATAAGGTCCAAAGAGATCAGCAAAGGAAGTGGATCGGAAATATCTTTGAAGGAGGGCGATGCTGAGGGCGAAATTACTCACTATCGGTCGCATTTGCGTAAGCGATGCCGTTGGTTTGTGGAAGGCACAGCTTATGTGTTTGTTCTATGCCCTTATCACATGCCAAGTGGGTGGGAGATGAGATGTCGTGCACAGTCGTCAGGCTGGACGAAGTTATATTGTCCAACACCAGGGGAGTACTAGGATGCACTGCAGCGAGCTGAGCACGTAGCTGAGGAAGTCCTGGATTGCTAGTAATTTGGAAACCCGTAAGCGCTTCGATTCGAGACCAGCGACGAGCTCTCTCTTGAAGTTCTTCCTGTAACTGCTCCAAGACATGTCTGTAGATGTGAAAATGGCGAATCAGTGCAGTGAGCATCCAAGGGAGTAAAATATGGGAAAGAAAAACGGAACTAAGTTAAGCGGTGCACGATTGGCAGGTCACCAGCGCAGCTTACCTGTCTTACACACTAGTGTGACCAATTGCTACCAGGAAGAGCTGTGCTGCGTAGTCGACACACAGGGTAGAGATAGAGGTGCAACTCAGCGTCAATCATTTGTGCCTAGTGCGTATTACAAACTGTACGAGATGGCGATAAACAACGCATCACGCATCTGCACCCAATGGACATAAAATGACATCAAAGTGACAAACCGTATGTAGACAAAAAGTGTACATTTAAAAATCGTCACCCATAAACTAGTGCTGTATGCATATTTGTGTGAGAGAGGAGAGCAGTGTTGAGCAGAAAACTGAAAATCAAAAATGAGAATCACGTAAAAACGTCTTGATTCGGAAGAGAACTCTTGGACAGATAATGGAAACACGAGTCAGTCAATTCACATCATATTGGTAAACCAATTATAAGGCAAGCAATAGAATAAAGTCGATCCAGTTGTCCTGGAAAGCACCGTCAACAATCAGATGCAGCGCCGATGACTCCGCGATTGTACCATGTACAAGAATCCAAAATACTAATCCAGAGCCCGATATCCAGGGTCTGCAGCAATCTAAGTCTCGCAGTTAATTAATTCATGCATTTCTACCACGTTATCGACTGGCCGCCCTGAGTGTTCACCAAACTAAGCATGACAAAGTTAAATAACACGCACCGAGTACGAGTCAATCTAGTGGAACTGATACGAACTATATCGCCGACCTGCGAAAAATTGAGTTTGGGTATCACAATGGGCTTTTGAGTGGGAGGATATGCACTGCTGACAAAAAAACTACGGACAAACTACAGTTGGTACTGCTCTATATGGAGAGGAAATTGGACGTTTATTAGGAAAACAAGCAGATAATGGTAAAGTTCGTCAGTTGGCGGTCCGGACGCATCTGCTGATCTGTACAAGATCTGGTAAGGTGGTTGCGATGCTTAGGCTAGTCGGCTCACGTTCTTCGAACAACTGACGATCGCTCATTCGAATGCAAGGTTTCTGCGCTTAGTTTAGGGAAGCTTCAAAATGACTATGGAGTGGGACACCAATATAATATAGTGTGATATAGAGGCAAATCTTAGAAGCCTAGGTTGTTCAGTTGGTGATCAGAGTGTTCGCTGAGCTCTGCAGTTTTGCTACATTGTTAGTCTCAGTTCGAGTACCGACACATGTTGGAAATGGAGGGAAAATATTCTGTTCGATAAAGAAAACGATAGTACAGAGCGGATCAGCATCATGTTCTATATAACACGCAGACCATTTTGAAAGTTTGTCAATTCTCTTTTATATACCAAAACCACTGAGCAACATTGGTGCCACTAATTCCTATTACCAGTGTCACAGGATCCCAAATGATGACTAGACATGGGGGGGGTACCATATCACAAGTTCCATTTTCGCGTCGCCGGTTGTCCGCAATGGCTTTTTCCATTCGCATGCAAAAGGCGCCAGTAATCCGCGATGAGGAAGGCGATAGGTTGGCATGCGCAATGCGTGGCATGACCAGCACAAACGGGATCAGGGACTGCTCACTCCGAGTGCCCTGCTTCGGCTTACATGGTGCTACCACCACACACAAGTAGCCGTTCGTAACCATCGACTAAGCAAGACTGACAGCCGTCCTGAATCTTATACACGAGAAGGCCGTACCGCAGCTGCACAACAGGAGCACAAAGGTGACATTGTATACTCTGTTACTGAGTTAGGGACTGACGTTGCGACGACATCGAAAGTGTCTCAGATCAATGAATGGAAGACCAACCGTAGCAAGTATTGTGAAATTTCATTTGCAACACTGCCACTATCAGTGGTGCAACTCTACAGACACGGACAATAGCCAATCCCGAAGCAAAACCTTACACTTGGATGGGGCAAATCGCCCCTAAGTATCTCTATCGCTAAACGGTTCAAAACGTTCTGAGCAAATTGACATCATCGACATAACCCAAGTCCACCACTGTCGCTGGATTGAAGCTCGATGCTGCAGTCCTGGGCTGCGTCCAGTGTTCGGTGGAGAGAATCCTCGATAGTAAAGCTGAACACGAATGATAGTACTAATGGCGTACACCGCTGCTACCAGTAAACGAAGGACAGTTTGTGATTAATCCTAAGCTTGCCCAAGGTGTGATTATGCAGCTTTGTTGAGATTAGGACAAACTTGTCGATTACACCGTTACTTAGTAGCTAATTCTAGGAAGTGGATGCACCGTAGATCCCCGAATATAACCCAGTCCATGGAGAAGCCGACAGTATAACCTTGCAATACGAAATGTTTGGTCGCACCCTTCACTGAATAAATATGATTGCGAGTTATTGTTAAAGGAACTGATGAGACAATACGAAATGCGTGCGTTTGCCAGTCTGCGTCTTCTTACTGCGCTTTTCGAAGTACTAAACAGAAGTAACTGTTTCAAATTTCTAAAAAGACAAATTCCCGCTGAAACAGTCAAGCTACTTCGCCGCATTGTCAACCTGCAATGTAAGATTGTTTGCAAGCGTGTGAAAATATCCTTCCCCTCCGAATGTATCCGTCAGCGTCGTTATTCTCGACCGATTGTGAAGATGGTACGCAGAAACAAATTGTGGCCCTCTGCAGTTAATCTTAGACGGGTTGCATCCGCTCATCTTGAGACGGCACAAACCAGACTTGTGGGTTTACTCGAGACATAGACACGCCTGTTGCCCGTCATCGAAAACTTGTCCCTCAGTTGTCGTATTGCATTCTCTTGGTTTTGTAAAATCACCGTTGATCGCACAAAAAGGATTGCGTTGGCTTGTTTGGAAACGTCACTGATGAACAACCAAGAGGAAGTGGCAATTACTCGCGACCCCGGTAAGTATGTGGTGAATATGTCGGATTTGAAGCTTAATGCCTTACAATTGGAAGCCTTATCATTTGGCATAGACTACAAAGTTCCTTCTAGACGGATAAATAAACTTCTTATTAAATCGCAGTTTGAAAACTTCTTTGGTCAGGTAAAAGACCTACAACCAGCCGGTGTTGATAAGCTCATATGGTTTAGAAACAAGCTGACAGATATTGCTTATGAGGTTAAACATGTGCCAGTAAAAGGAAAGTGTGCGCTTACAAAACGTCATTTACAGTCGTTACGCGAACTACTTGCAGAGGATGTGATTGTAACAAAGCCAGATAAAAGTTCCGATGTAGTACTCATGAATAAGGATGAATACATAAAGATGACAGTCATACTCGAGGACACAAGTAAATTCAAACGACTTGAGAGGGCAGAGGATGTGGCTGTGGTAGAGTCTCGCATAACTCGTCACTTAGATGTGCTCCATCTGCATCGTGTGATTGACAGTGATACGTCTGACAGATGCAAGCCGACTGGCTCCACTACTTTTCAGCTATACGGGCTACCGAAGGTACATAAGTGCGGGGTGCCACTCAGACAGATTCTGTCGATGGTAAACGCGCCTCAACATAAACTGGATCGTTGGTTGGTGAAATTGCTTTCTCTGCTGCGAGAGTAGGCCAATCTATACAGCCTCAAAGATTCTTTCGAGCTTATCGACGATCTCGACATACATAATGTATCCGACAAGAACATGTGCTCGTTAGATGTGGAATCGCTGTTTACTAATGTTCCCCTGTATCAAACCGTTGATTACATTTGCGAACTAGCGGAAAGTTAGCGGTGTCCTCTACCGATGCCAGTTGAGCTACTAAGAGACTCGTTATTGTGTACGGAGAATGCCAACTTTCACTTCAGAAACACACCGTACTGTCAGATTGATGGAGTAGCGATGGACAGTCCATTGGGCCCGGTACTTGCTGATTCCTTTATGTTAATAGTAGAACGAGGTATGTCTGGAGAAATATCTCGACTGCCATACTACAAACGCTACGTGGATGATATTTTGGCAATTTGTTAATCAAAGCATCAGATGGAGCAGTTGGTAACGCAACTAATTTCTGTGCATGCCAACTTGCGGGTCTCCTGTGAGGTAGAGAAGCAAAATTGCCTCCCGTACTTGGATATCCTCATCTGCCGTAGAGAAAACGGGCAGCTTAAAAGGTCTGTCTACAGGAAATCAACATGGTCCGGGCAGTATCTGCATTTCACTAGCTTCACACCAATGCGATACAAGCGGACGCCCGTGAAAACCCTGATTAGAAGTGCCAGACGAATCTGCTCCGCTGATGGCCTGGCTAACGAACTGCAATTGATTACCAACACGCTCAATGAAAACAGCAACCCCGAAGGTTCGTCGAGAAACATAGTAAAGGCTGGACCTTACCGTGGTGCGGTGGTTTGTGTGCCTCAGCGATCCATTGAGCTATGCTGGCTGGTGCTTTTGCACCTTCAGAGTCACTCATACCAGATTGGTCAATGGTTAGAGGCCAGACAAACTCAGCCTCCTGGTCTTCCAGCTTAAGGGCTGGAATGAGGGTGGCACCTTATTCCTTAAAACGTACTTCTTGTAGCCCAACGCCAAACCCGCTGCCTTGCGGTCAGGTTTTTGAACTAAAGGCTTTGGTTGAGAACCCTAATCTTCTCCAGTCTAGGCCTGGGCAACCGGACAGTATCCTGCTCACGCAATACAATGAATTTCTCTTCAAACAGTTTTTTGACGCTCTGGCCACCGCAGAGGATAATCAACGGTGCCCTATCTGCTGCATCGAGCAGAGTGGATAGGGGTTTGGATGCAACTGCTCAGGCCTTCACATTTTCGTATTCCCCCTCTTACGCTTTTTTCTCTCTAACCGTCCCGTTTCAGCTTCACTTTTATCCCCCCCCTGTTTTCAACCCTGCAATTCTCGGCCCTCCCCCACCTTGCTTCAATAGTCGCTTGTCTTTTAGTTTCAACTCACAGATGAACGCGGAGCGTCATTCATGCACTGTCAACAGGCCCATGTCCAACCAAGCGGCCAAAC